GATTTCTATTTCTCTTTTAGACAAGGTGCAAAAACGCATTGTAAATATAGTTGAACCTGCTCTCGCAGTTAATCTCCAACCATTATCGCATCATCGTAATATTGGTTTTCTGTCTCTTTTTTACAAATACTATAATGGGCACTGTTCTAAAGAGCTAGTGCCTCTTGTGCCATCTACTAAAATTTATTCTTGCTTTGCATGAGCTGCATAGATGTCCGTAACATTTTCGGTTGATGCCGTTACACCCTGGACACATATATCTACGTGCTCTGAAGTAGGATCGGTGGGTCTTGAGTTGTTCTTCTTCAGTAGAGCGTATAGGTCTGTTGAGAGAGTATACCGCCAATAAGGCATGTGTGTGTAAGACGCCGTTGAACTGATTCTGATTTGCGTCCATCAAAGTAGATACATCTCATGTGTTTTTGTACATAATGATAAAAACTGCTTTTGTGTAATTTAAAAAAACTATATGTATTATAAAATGAAAACAATCCAGAAATACAAATAAGTTACTCAAAACTTGCTTCACTTAGACTAAAGTGGTGCATTTTACCAGGTGCTAATGGTACACATTCTGTTTGTGTTTGTTGTTATCACTAAAATGTCATATTGCTAGTAGATGCCTTAAATATTTGACTAAAGTATAAGGATTTACTTTCGAAAACTGTTTGCAAAGAATGCATGCTTGCACAGTGTGATAATTGTCCTGGTAAAGAAACCTTCACCAAATATATGTATGAGATTTTCGAAGAATATGAAGATGATTTTGAGATACATTACAAGCAATGGCAAACTACTGATCGTGCAACACTATTGAGTTTAACAGCAGATGTTTCAACATTTGTTGAACTATTAGTATTTTGCTTTGAAAAGCTACAAGCTCATTCTTTTATTGTTCACTCTCAATCACAGTACCTTAACCAACTAAAACAAAATATGGATCAATCAAACATTATCATTATTGGTGAGTTTGCTGAAAATTATACTTTTGTAGTCCAAGATAAAATACAAAGCTATTATTGGAACACCCAACAATGTTCTTTACATCCATTAGTGATATACTATAAAGTGATAGAGGTGTACTGAAACATATTTCTTATTGTTTTATATCAGACGACATTACACATGATGCAACTTATGTGTACAAAATATTTCAACTAATCATACCAATATTAAAAAACAAAATTTTCCAATCTGTCCAAATTACATCTAACCACTGATGGTTGCGCAGGACAGTACAAAAATAGTAAAAGCTTTTACAATCTATGCCAATAAGAGAGCGAATTTTCCCTTAAAGTTGAATGGAATTTTTTTGCCACGTCACACAGTAAGTCGCCATGCGATCGGATTGGCGGCACTGTAAAATGGTTAACAAGGCAAGAAAGTTTAAAACGACCATACAGAAACCAAATTCTCACATCAGAGGCTATGTATGAATTTTGTATTGAGAAAATTAAGGTTGTTAACTTCATTTACATAAAGGGGATAGACTTACAACTGCAACGTGAGGAGCAACTTGATATTGTCACTTTAGGAGGTTATGTAGCTGTAGTCTAAGATGATAAATGGTGGAATGGCATTGTAACTGAAACTAACCTAGAAGAAGTTGATTTTTAAAGTTAAGTTTCTTCACCCAAAAGGTCCATCAATCTGTTTTAACTGGCCTGAAAGAGAGGACTACTGTTTTATTCCTAACACCAACATATTGAAAAAACTATCTGTTCCACAAGCTTACTCTAGTTCTGGTAGAAACTATGTGTTTGAAAATGCTAAAATAGAAGAAGTACAAGTAAAATGGGAACAATATTGTCAACTATTACAAACACAGTCAAAATAACTTACATCTTTAAAAATTTTGTATATTTAAATTTTTTAAATTAGGATTAACTTATTTTTATTTTATTTACAAACATTTTTTGGGAATTTCTTGAAAAAGTAATACATCTTTGATATTAAAGTTTTATAAATTTTAGTTGTTTTTCCAGTTAGATATTTTGTGCCTAGTAAGATTATAAGCAGCTGAATATATTAACAGCAAAAAAAAAAAATTGACGGGGGTGTTTTGAGATATTGCGCCCCAAAGTTGGTTTATAGAAACTAGCTGTTTTATTAACTTTTAAGCTTGTTCCTTTTTGTATTTCAGCATTTTAAGTACATTTATTGAATTTAGCAAAAAAATATTATATATTTTTATTTCTTATTTTTTTAAGAAAAATATTATTTTAGAATGTTATGTAAACCGGGTCAATTTGGGAAAGGTGAATATGTACCAAAAACAACCCGTATAAAAACTAAATATCAAAGAAAACAAGGGATAGGAAAATATTGCACAAAAATTTGTTTGTTTTTTTGTACAATCCATATTATATTATATATAGATTTATATATAATTATAATACTGATATTTATTTTGATCTAAAATGGTGAAAAAAAATATAAATAGACCAATGGAGCAACTGAAATAATAAAACTTTATACACTCATTGGGCTTTTAAAAAGG